TAAATGAGGAAAGATGATAATTTTAAATTTAAATGCTTTTTAAGGTTTAAACTTTTGAACTATTAAAATCGAATGCCCTTTTAAAGAGTTATAAAAGATAATGATAATGATAAGGATGATAAAAATGATCATAAATATGATTATTTAAAAAGTTTTTTAGTATAAAATTGTGTATAAAGCTAATTTTGATATAGTTTATATTATTATTAATTAAATTTATCTTTATATTCAATTTCTAATAATTATACTTCTAGTATTATATTTAATCAAGATTTATTATGTTTGATTTTTTTTAGTCATATTATTATTATGATTTAGTTTTTACTTTTTAATTTATTGTTATTTATTTTTTTTGCAAATCTATTATTATTTTTTTGTTATATATGTATATTTTATGTAAATTTTTTTTTTGTATATTTATTATTATATATATCAAAATAATAAACTTTAAATATAAAAAAAATTTTTTACTAAACTCACTGCTATAAAATTAACACTAAATTCAAATTCTTCACAATGCGATAATTAAATTTTATCTAAATCAAATCTATAAATCATAAGAAAATTGCTAATTAAAGATCACTTAATACAATATAAAAATTAAATTAAAAAATTTTATTTTTTATAATCTATAAATCTGATTTAGATGAAATTTAGCTTGTTGAAATTATTGCAGCGAGCTTATTAAAAAAATATTTTTATGCTTAAAGTTTATTAAATAAGAAATTCTGATGTTAATTATTAAATTACATAAATTTGGTATTATTAACTAGATATTAAATTTATATCAGATTATTTTTAAGGATTAACAATTCTGACTTAATCTGTAAAGTGTAAGTTCTTATTATAAGTTACACTGTAATAATCACAAGTTCAAGTCTTAGCTGAGGTATAAAACTAAATGATTTTCATAAGAATTTCATATATAACTAAATATGTAAGCGTATATACTAATATGTATTAAAACCTGATTAATTAATCTATTAATTAATATTAATCATGCCTAAATATTGGATTTTAAAGAACATGTGAATGCAAATGAAGCCAGATATCAAAAAAAAACTTAACATTTACTAATAGGTTTATAATAAATACTATCTTACTTAGAAGCCTTTACATAAGTAAGAAAGTAGTTAATCAGTAATTAGTAGATTAAGTATTACCTTTAGACGACTATAGTAATAATAGATTGTATTACATTACTACAATACTATCCAATCAAGCTATCACTAGAGGTAGAGGATAGATTTAATTTTTAGATGAATTTAATGTTATAGATACAAAACTATCATTTATATAAAAAACTTGATCTTATGATTTTAGAAGTTATCAATAAGGCTAAATCTTATAAATTAGATTAGTAAAAATAGATGTAACAAATTTTATAGTTGAATTAAGCCTTCTATCTAAAGGTAATGGTATCCAATATGATCTAGTAAGCCTAAGATAGTAGGTTAAGGTTACTTTAAGTAGTTTATACTAGGTGGTAATTATATGAAATATACTTTAGGCAGGTTGTCATATTTTTTAAAGGATCAAAGACCTATGAAGATAACTTAAAGGTAAAATTAAATATGTTCTATTTAGGATATACCTACAGCTTATTCTTCAGCTACTACATATTAATATGAAAAAAAAAATTATATCAGATTATTCTTCAAGATTTGAACTTTAAAATAAATATAAAATTATGATTTTAGCCCTTATAGTTAACCTGCTATAAGCTTTTAAAAGTAATTAATAATATTTATGTTTTTTTTTGTAAGCCACTTTATATTTTATTAGTATAAAATATTAATATAGAATATTTAAATTTTTCATAATATATAATTTTAAATTAGTAAAATATATTATTTTCTTATTATTTAATAATCTTTCTTATTTTTACATATTTATTTAATTTTTTATTAATATTGTCTATTTAGCTTAATAATATCACTCAAAAAAGAACATAAATTACTAATTTTTAATAAAAGTTATTATTTCAACCAAGTTGTATTTATATTTAAAGTATTTATTTAAAACTTTTCACAATAAAATTTTTATAATATAAAAAATTGATTTTACATAAAATCCAACTGAACAATATATTCTATAATCTAAGAGAATATTCTTTCTCTCATAATATTACATATATTTTTGTTATTAAAGTTATATATTTATATCTACTTATAAGAAGATCTTGAAAAAACTTATTTTTAGAGTAAAATTTTGCATAAATGTAAAAAAAAGTAATCATTTAAAAGGAAAATCATTGATTGAGCATAATAATCTATCATATGAGTAGTTAACTTATAGAGTAAAAATACATTTTAATTATAAAAATGATTTGTATATAACATCTCTAGTATAGTATAGTTTAATAATAAAAAAACATAAAACAATGATTTGATTTATATTTTGAGTTTGAGTATTGTAAATAAGTATCTTTTTTTAAAAGCAACTCTACTTTTTTAGTAAACAAAAAGTATAAAAAAAAATGCAGTATATTTTGCTTGATCTTGACTAAAAAAGTATTACCAAGGTTATCCTGATAGGTATTTTTTTAAGTAGTCTAACTTATATTTTGATCTTTTAAGTTCTAATAAAATTAATAAATCTATTCTTTTAGTTTTTGCCTCTTACATAAAGGAGCGTAAAACCTATTCATTCTATGAATTCTTAAAGCTTTACCATAATACTATTATAAATTTACCATCTTTTTTAGATGATTGAGAAGGCCTCAAAACTGTGTGAATTACTTATTTTTTGAGAGCTGTATTTGAAATTAATTCAAATAATTATAAAGTTTTAGAGGAAAGGGTAGTATATTTCTTTTAATGCCTAGTTAATATTATCTACAAAAAGGAGTTCTAGTTAGTGGTTGATTAATCAAGAGTATTTAGTTGTTATGTCTATTCAAGTAATAATAGTTATACTTCTTATTAGTGATCAGTCAACTTAGAAATTTCTGATTATTATATCAGAATATTATTATTGTGATTTGTATTTCCTTTATTTGAATTGAATTTATTAGAAACTCTCTATTATGTTATTAATAAAAAAATTTGCTGTTAATTATTTCTACAATAGATAAAATCTGAAATCAAAATAAAAGTCTAAAGCCTTATTGGAATAATATTATTTGTGAAAGAAAAGAAATAAGCTAAACTATTCTATTATTTTATTTTTTTAGATTATCACTCATTTCATATATTTAATGTAAAATAGTTGTCAGTTGAAAACATCTATATCACTAGAAGTCTCAACCTTTTAGGTAGAGTTAAAATTATATATTTGCAATTTAGTATTTATATATTTCAAAGATACAGAAGAGAAAACACCTATAGCTATATTAGTTTATAAATTAAAACTAAAATTAGTTTTAAAAAAGGTTAGTATTAGCATAAAAATATTGTCTTGAATTTTATTATAAGCAATTTTTAATTCTTATTATATTTACAAAATAAAAACTCAGATGGTTCAGTTACAGATGAAACCTACACTCTTTTTTCTATTCAATCTTCTTCTGGGTTCATGAAAAGTAAAATTTAAGGAAACTTTCATTCTTTAATAACTCTTAAATTTGTTTTTTTTATTTTTATTTTATTTGACCTTTTTCATAATATTATAGGAGATTTTTAAGGTAGTAGTTTCTGATCTGTAATGCAATATTATTTTTTAAGTCAAATAATCATGATACTGATGATAACTTCTTTAAAAAAATGGATATTCATTTTTAATCAATGATTTGATATATCTAACTACTTCATTTTTTTATGAATTTATTTAATATGTATTTAGAATAAAATATCGAAGAAAAGGAAAGATGATAAGAAAGAAGATGCATGTAACAGTATATTATTTGATGAAAAAATAAAGACTCTCTTATAGAAAGTATTGATAAAGGTAGGTTAAAAAGTGAAACAAGATTACAAATCTTAAAATTAGCTAATAATATATCTAAATACAAGCTGTCAAATGATAGCAACTTATTAATCATATTTAAATAATATTAAAAGAATATTCCAAAGAGCTATTAAGTTATTACATAAGTTTTTACTAATTTAACATATGATGATGATCTAGACTTTTACCTTATTTATTATCTATTAAATTAGTATATTTAGGGTATATTAGATTTAACTTAAGAGAGTCTGAATGGATGCAAAAAATTTTCAAAGAAAGATATTCAGAAATTATCACAAAACTTTTTGAATACTATTTCTTAAGATCTAAAGTTGATACCAAATTATCTTCAAAAATATTTTAATAAGAACTGTAAAAAAATTTATCAAATTAAGAATATAAAAAAACTTTACATAAATATCCAATTAATATAAATATTAGTTTATTATAAGTATTTGTGCAATATTTTTTAAATTATTTAACAAGACAATTTACTTCTTTCTATCAAAAAAAAAGAAAATATGTACTCATTTAATGAATTCATATTCGAAAAAAAATTAAAAATGATTTTTACTTTTTCATTTTTTTATTCTATTCTTCAATGAAATGTAATCAAAGATTTATGGTAAATTATGGTATATTTGTCTCATAACAGGATAATAGAAAAAATTTAAAATATTTTTTATAAATAGAGGTGAAATTCAAATATATAGCATGAAAAAAGTAAAAAATGAAAACTCAGATTCTTTTCAGAAAATATAAGATAAAAAATTAATATAAAGGGAATGTTAAAAAATACTCTAAATAATTTTAAAACTCTTTTTAGCAAAGTATCTGATAATATGACATTACTAGGAATTTCTTCTTTATTCTATAAAAAATAATATTTAGATAAAGTGAAGTCTAGTATTATAATATAAGACTCTCTTAATAATATGTTAAAAGAATGCTAACATATAGATAATAATCAAAGAAAAAGTTTAGAGATCTATAGATAACTCTAAATAAATATATTAATATTCATATAAACTTAATATACAGTAAGTCTACTTATCTGGTTTATTAATTAGTACAGTTCATTTAACATAGAGTTTAAACTGAGTTTTTATGTGATGAATTGGTTTAAAGATTTGTACAGATTTAGCCTAATTGATTACTATATATTACCTTCTCAAGAAGACAATTGTAGACTTTTTAAAAATTTATATTATATACTTAAAAAACTCAATGTATGTTATTTTTACCTTACTATTACAATTAATCTGTGAATTATTTGTTTAATATAATTTTGTGTAGGTAAAATTATTAAAAACTGAAAAATCAGTAAAAGAGCTATATTAAAGCAATTTAATAGAAAAGTATCATTAAATTATGATAGAAAATAGTTTTAAATATGAATAGGATAACAAATTGATTACCTTTTATTATCATTTGTAATTATATATTGTATATTTCATTAGATAGTCTATCAAATTCTCTGCATATTATTATCTCTTATTTGAATGATAAGAATATATAGTTTATTAATAATGAGATAAATATAATGAATCATTAGCACATTTCTGTTTAAGGCTTATTTTTTAATAAAAATCTTTTTTGTATATCTGATTAGCAGATCTTCTTGTGATTTATGTTAACAATGCTGGAAAATAGAATCTTATTTACTTTAAATAATTGCATATGATATTACATATCAAATTAGTATAACACATTCTCAGATGCACATATATTTATCAGATGTGTACAATATGAGTTAGAACATTTTGCTACTCTATTATTTTTTACATTTTTTATTTTTTCAGCTTAGTCTTTCTCATTTATTATTTTATAAAAATATAATAAAGATTTTACTTCAATTTTTTAAATGTGTATTTTAAAAGTGATATTAATTATATTTACTTTATATTCTACTAATATAATTACAGTTATAGATTTAAATAATAGATCTCCTTAGTATTTATTAATCATAAAACCAATTTATATGCATATATGCAATGTTATACAGCAGATATTGTTCACTAAAATTGACTAGATATAAACAGTTTAGATATATTTAAGAATTGTTATTCGTCTACATGTTCTGTGTCTATTATATTTAAAATAATAAAGATACTATCTGATAGATCATACTAAGCCACCTAAGAAATTTTTTAAGATGCCATTTTCTCTATTAATAACTTTATATATTATTAGAACAGTCAATAAAAGTAATCTTAAAATCTTCTGTAAACTATGTATAAAAATTTTAGGAAAAGAAAAAGGACTTAAAACTTTACTTCCAAATAAAACAGATCAAATTATTCAACATTTCAAAAAATATCTTCATTTTTTTACCAAAATAAAAGAAGAAAAATAAGCAGAAATCTTTGGAATTTTACAAAATAATTCTAAAAATTTTAAGAATAATACTAATAATGTATTAAGTTTAATTTCTAGTAAGAGGTCATATAAGTATTTTAAATTTAACCTTTTTATTTTATGACTATTTTACTAAAACAAAATTTGTTATTATAAATATTATTTTAGTTAAGGATTCTACTATATCATCTCAACCATTATCTCACAAAATAATTAACCAAACTTTATATTATAGGCCTATAGGCAATTATATTGTCTAAAGTTTATCTAAAGAACACTTAAAAAAATTTCATATGTAGTTACTTTGACTTACAGTTTTTTGTAAATGAATATTATTATAGGTTAATATACCTGAAGCAAAAGAATTATTTGATTTTTTAAATCCTTTTCTTAAGCTATCTGATTATCATGTTCTTAGTAGTGATATTTAAAAGATATTGTATTTGAAGCAAATAAAGCTATAAAAATTGCAATTAAAGAAGATTCAGTAGGTATAACTTTAACTTTTGATAGATAGATTAATATTAATAAACAATTATTAGAAATTGTTTTATTAACTTTAGAAGGAAAGTCTTTTGTTTGAAAAGTTATTAACATTAGTTTTAAGTGTGAAAACTATACTAAAATAATTAATAAAACTAAAATAATGCTTGAATATTTGAAAAAAAAATTACTGTTTATGTTATTATTACTAATAGTGTATTAACATATATAGCAGCTTAGTATTTCTGATCTAATATTCTAAAACTTATATATAATAGTTATTGGTTAGGAAGGATAAAATATCAGTCATCCTAAAGGGATAACATGATATTTTATTTATCCTAACTAATAATTAGTTTATTATATCAGTCACATAAAGATCATACTTTAAATTAATATTATTATAATAATAATATTTAAAAGTTATAAAAAGTTTATTATATTTGATATTTAATCATTAGCAAAAAATATTAGTCCATTAAAATTAGTATGATTTTAATAAACTGACCAATAAATTTTTATATTAAATGTTAATTAAGAATATGCTATAAATCAATTGTATTTTTACCATACTTTGCTTACTAACTTAACCTTTATATAGGTAAAATTTTCAAAGAATTTACTGAGTTTAAGACTTCAATTGATCATGTAATAAAACATTTTACTTCTTTAAAATGCAAATTATAAGTTTTTTATTACATGGTTATGAGATCAATAACAATAAATTTATAAAAAATATATTGCAATTACTATTCGTGAAGAAATATAATAAAATAATTTTATAACATGTGTATTAATCTTTAAAAACTCAAAATGCATTGCAGGTAAATTTATTAATATTATTATTTTATTAGCATTAAATTTAAACTTAATTTTTAAAACCTTTGCTTTTTATTAAATATTAGCTATTAAATATAAATCACTAATATTTGAAATTCGTTATAACCTAGAAAAAACTTCAATCTTATCATGTAAAATATTTAAAATTATTGATTCTAAAATCAAATATATTAATTAGTTAAATAATTGATCTGTATTACAAATTATTTAATATATTATAGTATAATAAGGTATAATTATTTTAAGTAGTATATAGTATAAGTTATTTAATTTAATTTTGATTAAGCTACAGTTAACGACTAAAATTATGCGGACAATTTTTTTTTACCAAAATTGGGCAAATCATCATATGATCACGTGATATAAATATTACGATTTTTTTATTTATTTATATGATAAACATATACACAAAATTTTTTAACTATTCCACTTTTAGTTAAAGCTTTATGAAATTATGAAGGCGTTCATCCCAAAAACTCGTGATGCTATTATTTATGGCAAAAAATGTAGACAATCAGGTCAAACTATTACTAAAAATTTGGGGTGTAGCAAAACAGCTATTTATAAAGTACTTAAACGCCATCATTAAACTGGTTCTTTCACACCAAAAAAACAAACTGGCCGCCCACCACTCCTTAATACACCATCTCAACAAAAGTTTAAAGCTTTTATTCAAGAAAATGGTGAAAATCGTCAGCTTTGTGCAAAAAAACTTGCAACTGTTTGAACAGCTCGTATAAAAAAACCCATTTCTGCATTTACTATATATTGTACCCTCAAAAAGTTAGACTTAATGCTCGTATTTCTTATCACAAACCTGCAATAACAGAAGCACATTGTCAAGCTCATCTCAAATGGGCTCGTGCACATGAAAAATGGACAACAAGACAATGGAGAAAAGTGTTTTTTTCAGATGAAAGTACTTTTACATAGTTTCAACAAGGACATCAAGGAAAAGTATGGTGTAAACCAGAAGAAGAATTGAACCCTGATTGCATTTTAGTTACTGTAAAACACAGTCTAAGCAAAATGTTTTGGGGATGTTTTTCTTGGAATGGACTTGGACTAATTATTCCTTTAAATGATTCAGTTACTGGTAAAACACATGCTGAAACTATTCAAAAATATGTTGTTCCTACTTTACAGAAGTATTTTCCTTATGGTAATGGAATTTTCCAAGAAGATAATGCTGCACCGCATCGTTCAAAAGTTGCTGCAGCTGCTCATAAAAGTGCTGAAATTGTGATGCTTCCTTGGCTCGCCCAAAGTCTGGACTTAAATCCAATTGAAAATCTTTGAGCGGAAATAAAAATGATGGTTCGACATTATACTCCCCTACCATCTAATATCTGAGAGCTTGAAAAATATGTTAAAAGTGCTTGAAAAGATATTCCTCCAGAATATTACAAAAAATTGATCAATAGCATGCTGCAAAAGATCAACGCAGTTATTACCGCAAATGGCAATAGAATTAAATATTAGTATCGTAATTTTTTTTGTAAAAATCAATTAATAAAAGCAAAATAAATATATTTTACCTTTTGTTTTATTTCCACTTTATTTTATTTATATAAATTTTTCAATTTAAAAAGTGTTCGCATAATTTTGGTCGTTAACTGTATTTAAATATTACATTAACTTTATGAATAATTGAACAATTAGAAAATCATTAAAAAGAATGAAAATAATCCTTTCTTTTATTATTTATTTACTGTATTCAGAATATAGGATAGAATAATTTAACAATTTAGTCTCTAATATCAATTATCTAAATTTAGAAAATAACTAATATACTATTATTATACATAATCTAAAAAGGAGTCAAAATATATATTTCATAAATTTGATGATTTTTGATTGATAAAATATCTATTTAATCTTAATTTATATAAACAATTTAATAATGATATTTAATATTATTGATGTTATGTTAACATTTTTACAAGTGAATTAGACTTTATGACTTGTAAAAGATTTTAGTATATGTATGAATATTACTTTAGTTAAAAGTCTTTGGAGCTGTATAAAATTTTTACAAACAAAATACTGTAATCGATTAAAAATATATATAATTTATATTTAGTATGTTTAATTTATTATATTTATATAAAGTATCTATATATTTTTTATTATATAGTCAACTAAAGCTTTTGTAATAAGTAAACTAAGTGCTGATATTATATACAATTATTGCCTTTATAATAATTCATTATTTACTGAACCTATTATTGATATTGATGATATTAATAATAATTCTGATAATTTAATTGATTTAGAAAATATTAATAAACTAGCTGATAATTTAATAATACTAGCAGAAAATAATTTAGATTTTTCTGAAGAATCAGATGAAGAAATTGATAAATTTTAGTTAGAAAATAAATTTGCTGAATATCTTCAGAGTTAGATAGAAATGCTAAAAGAAGAGAAAGAAAATACTAAATTTAATGAAGAACCTGATGAGGATAATAATAATATATTAGATAATATTACTCACTTTGTTATTAATACTAATGCTAAATAAATTAGAAATTCTTTTCAAAGATAATATAAATTTACCATTTGAATTAAAAATATTTTTGATTTAGAATTTAAATTAGTAAATAAAAACATTTATAATCAAATACAATTTTATTTAATCTTATAAAAATATATAAAAT